CGTACTTAAGTTTCAAGCATTAATATCTCGGGATCTTTGTTAAAATATTTATTGCTAATATTGTTTATATGACACAAATATAACAAATTTTTTCGATAAATAAACACAAGTGGGCAGTTCCGCCCACCAGACTGAGGAAAGTTAAATGAAGCCTATTACTAACAGCTCATCAATCTGCATATCTTGTGTAGTCATCTTATTACTTTCTTTAGTACAGTTTTCCACACCGCCCTTGATCTCTCTTTCGGTTAATTTAGAAAATCTTTTAGCTATTATCTCAGCTTGTAGCTCGATGCATCTAAATTAAAATAAACTCGCGACGCCAAAATGCATGATGAATCACTTCAATTTTTGGTATACTATGAAAAACACGAAGAAGCAGCGGCTGACGAGTAACCAAAAAGACAACTCACTAAAGCAATCGCCAATGGATGTCTGCGTAGGCAGCTAAAAATCCATGCAGTAGCAGCATCCCATCCCAGCCCAACTCATTCCATTCCATTGCATCCATTGCCACATGGCAACGCGAGTCTTTTTCCGTCGTACTTGTTTTTAAAAATAAAATGCAAAGCAAACCAAATTACGATATACGTTGGTATACGTATATATAAAAGGATGCACTACGTAGACCCACCTCTCGCTCTTCCTCTCCCTCTCTCCCTCTCTGTCTGTCTGTCAGTCAGGCAGTTGTTGTTTTTGTTGTTGTTGTTTCAAAGTCAAACTCAGCAAACTTGATTCGTCTTTGTGCAGTTCATTAAAATATGTATTTAACAAGAAAGAACATAAGTATATCTTCTGGATACCAAAACCTAAATACACTTCTATACATAAAGTCGCATACAACATTTCAATTTTTAGGGTTCCACTATGCTTAAAACATGCATGTTACATTTATAAACTTGACATTCAGCGATTCCATTAGAAAATTATTTGTTGAAATAAACAGCTGATCGGCTTGATTTGATTTACCTAAGCGCTGCAATGTTTTTTTCCAAAGCTTAAATAATGAAACATCCATTTAACGAACTTCTTGCGGGATTTAATATAAAAAACTGTGTAAAATTTAAAATTGTAATTTAAATTTTCCGCAATATCAGATGGTTGTGGTAATGATGATTTTATATTTTTCATAACATCGATACGAAATTTAAGAAAGGTTTATAGTGGAATTGGAAAATAACTTTCCTGAAATCTCAAACAAAAATGTTTTCTAGCAAGAACCTTTTCCCCATATGTCAGTTCCTATATCAACTATATGGTATGGTGATCCCTTACTGATAAGTTGAATGGACCGTTGTGAATTAGTTCGATTCGTCAGAGTTAAGACTATATTTCGAATGCAACAAAAGGACGTAATCAAGCCAAGTTTCATCCGGGAGAGTAATGGGATAGACTGAGCCCGAGTATTTAACCCGATTAGGAGTTATTGGATTTCAGAGACGTCACACATTGTCTGATAACATGAATATAACTCTTTGATAGAGTATTAAAAAAGAACAGCCGCGCGTACAACCAGGAACAGTACCGAACAGTAGCTCTTTTATATACACATACATACGTCTCGTCTTTGTTTATCGTTGCACACGTTCCCCTCACATCGCAGCCAGACTCTTGCTTTATGATCAGGTCCGTGTGTGTGTTTATTTCAGCCGCATAAAAAAAACTCTTGCCACATGTGGCAAAAATTCAGTTGTCTGTCAGCATAGTTTTCTTCTTTCTCTCAGCTCGATTTTAATTGCATTTGCTGCCGCTGGCGGGATGCCCGTAACGGCACCCACATAGAATGCTGTTTTACCAGTTAATCCTTTGTATGGAGAGCCATAACCATCATTAATGACAAGTCTTGAGGAACTTGTCGCCAGCTCATCATCAAACTGGTCTGTGACAGCGTTCGCAGTCGTCAAATAGGTTAAAGAGCCGCTAGAGAAACCACTTTTTAGCTTTGGCAAGCCAAACAAAAGTTGGGAAAATCAAGGAAACTTGTAACAAGTTGAATAAAAAGATAATAGCTTTTAAATTATTCCAAAATATGGAGATGAGTGTCTAAAATAAGTAATTCGAATTCAATATTTATAATCAAAGCAATGGGAATTAAAGACAAGAGAAGTTTCTTAGAAACATCTAAACAAACTTTGGATCATTCAGCCCTAGACCTTTTCGCCCACATGACATCGCAAAGGACCTTAAGGGGCAACGCACAAGCTCCGCAACAAGCCTAAAGTCCAGGCAAGGAACCGGCTAATGAGGCGAAGAAGAAAGAGGCTTAAAGGAACTATCTCACTGACCTATCTTGCAAACCCCCAGCAAAATAGTCTAGTCCAAACAAAATCAACATATACATAAACCCACCTGTAACTGTAAATATCTTTGCTTAGCTACTTTAAACCAAAGCTATTGTTACTATGAACCCTATGAGCCCTGCTTAACGTTTCTAATAATATATCAGATAAAAATACAAAAAAAATTTAGGACAAAAGAATTACTGTCACTCTTGAGAAGGTGTTCTCACAACATGTTATTTATAAAAGAAACCCCCTATCTATATATATATATATATATATATATATATATATATATATATATATATATATATATCTTTTCTTGTGAATAATATTCTCAGTTTTAAAGCTGTTCTAATCAAATTTGTCATAGAATCCCCCTAATTTATACCTCTATATCATATAGCCCCCTTTGGAACTGTCCGTAATGGAGCTTAGCATGAGAAATGTTTTTGATACTCAACATATTATCAATCAAAACTGCAATTGAGAGCATAACTCTTTTTCATAAGATAGGCATTGACCAACTATGTAATACAGTTACAATAGGAATTATTTGCTGGAAATAAAGACTTTTGTCTTTCAAGATATCTTAGCCAAACTCAACATTTACAATATTCTTCCAGCGAAGTCCTACCAAACTTCATAAAGATTTTGGTGAGAAAAACCCCTGTACTTTATGCCTGCAAGGGTATTTAATCTTCTTTTTTAACCTCTTAGAGGGTATAATAATTTTGTCTCGAAATGTGTAGCGCATAGAAGGAGACATATCCGACGCCATAAAGTATATATATTCTTGATCAGTATCAACAACCGAGTCGATTTAGCCATGTCCCAGTTTTAAAATGTGGCATACGTCCCTCTTTCTGTTGTGGACAGTACATATGTGGGATCTGGCTGGATATATAGAGCTGCCATAGGAACAATCGGTCGAAAATTAGGTTCTCGTGTACGAGAAATCTTTTGTCTTTCAAGATATCAACCATACTCGGCATAAACTAGTTACCCTGTGCTTGTGAGATACGAGAAAAACATTGTAAAAAGATTCGATCTGCAAGGGTGTTAAGTCTTCGGCGTAGATAACCCTTCTTTCTGGTTTTTACTTTGTCTTTACATATTAATTGCCAAGGCGTACAATATGACAATCACACACACAGAAATACACATACACACACACACACACACACACACATGCACAGCTAAAACGCTGCTGATGATGTCAGCACTTGTGCTAAAAAGGGCGGCGTTGCAAAAAAAAAAAAACTAAAAAATCGAAAAAAATAAAACCCCAATCGCAATGAGCTTCACGAATAACTGTTATTTTGAACAAGCTGGTGCTTCTTCTTCTGCTGGCCTCCGCCTTGGCAAGTGAGTTGTCGCGCTTATCTCTAGCCTACTCCCTCAGTCACCCAGGCACACACACACACACACCTACGCATACAGGCAGACATAAGCTGATAACGAACTGCGTGTGTAAATAGACAGCAGCAAGCACAACAACAACAACAATAATGTTTATCTATATTTCAACGTGTGTTGTTCTTGCTATCAGCTGCCTTTAACTAATAAACGAAGCAGCTGAACACGAAAAGCCGCTAAACAAACATGTCATTTGTATAAATGTGTGTGAGTGTGTGTGTGTTATCGAACTGTACGTTTTTTTTTATTTATTTTATTTTTTTTTTTTGTAAATTATTCAAATGCATAATTGCGAATGGTGCAAAAAAATCGTCCAGAAACAGCTGCAGGTCCGAGCAGAGCTGCGCTTGACGTTCGAGAGCGCGCGGCTGAGGCTTTGCAGTCGTGCGTTTTATTTGATTGGCGTGAAAAAAGCTCAGCCCCACGAAATGAAAGCGAAAATGTATTGAAAAATCAACAGTCTAACAGGCTGGATATTTGTGCAAGAGTGAGTGAGAGGTCGGACAGAGAGCGAACTAGAGTAAACGAGAGAGAGAGAGGAGCGTGTGTGTGTGTGTGGGAGAGAGCGGAGCGTGGGAGCAACAAATGCAATGACCTGAATTTAAAGGGCGCTAGCAAGTGCGTGGGTGTGTGTGTGTGGATGAAAAGGTAAACATGTGAGCCAAAAAATAATTGAGAGGTTCAGGCAAATATAACAAACAAATCAAGGCGCGGCAGGCGGTGAGAAGTGTTTACAGTTATTCAGGCATGCCTTAACAGTTGTATTATTATGGGCTGGTGCGCATGTATGGGTAACTGTATTGTGTATACATATACGCAACGTCCTTGTGCCTAACACAACAGCAAAGGAGCGGATTGGGGGAGAGGCATGCTCGCAGCGCCACCCAGTTAGCTGTTGTCAAAGTCTACACTTGCCTTTGTGTGCGTGCGCGGGTATGCGTGTGCCTATCCGTGTGATGCTGTACGCCTTTCTCTGTGTGCGTGTGTGTGTGTTCTGGAATTTTTGCGTGCTTATTGAATTTTCAGTGCTTTGAACGACGTAAATGAGTTTCGCCAATGAACAGAGCACACTTTGAACTTTTTTGTTTTAATCAATTGAATTAAATGGCATTCTATTAAATTTACACTGTAAGTTACGTTCTTTTTATTGCGCTGCTGCTGCGCCCTTTACGCATACATACACACAAACGCGACACTCACACACAGACACGAAATTTTTCACTGGTGCAAAAATCGGTTAACCAAGTAAATAGCTAAAGCACACATTTAATGGCAAATAAAAACTTATAATACTGCACGTACATGTTAATTTTTGCTTGTCAAATTGTTGTGTCAGAGCTGCGCGCACATTTTGTTTGCAGTTTTCTTTTATATTATTGTCAGTAGCCCGTTTGAAATGCAAATTGCATTTTTAATAAAATTTTTGCGCGGTGCATGGAAATTCGTCCGAACCGTTCAAGACAACGCCATTTTTACTTCTGACAGCTGTTCGAGCTTAGTGCTGTGCGATGTATACAATAATATCGATAGCTAAGTGTTGCCAAATATCGACAGGCTGTCACTTTAAAAGTATCAGTCCCCGCATAGGAACCGGTATCGATACCTTGTCATATTATAATCCAAAGTAAATTTGTCAATTTAATTTTAAGGCGCGTATTTTAAAATTTTCTTTTTCCCCCGTTATAGCTTATTGTTGTTTTTGCTACATATCAATACTAGATTGAAGCCCATTGTAATTGTTTTTTTTTTTTCTTCATTTTAATGCCCGCTCTTATTTAAATATAATTTTTGCTTTGTGTAACATACGAATTTGGGCGATAAAAAAATAAATGTAAACAATAAATCGCATGCATTAATGGCTGCTTAAATAACTAACAGTTTATGAAACAACTCATTTCTTGGCCTTGGCCCTGGGCTTGGCTGGGGCTTTGGCACTTGGCTTCTTGGCGGCGGCTGCCGGCTTCTTTTTGGCCTTGATCAGCCCATCCAGCTCCAGTTTGTCCTGGTCCTCCTCATCGCTGGACGCAGATAACTGGGCGCCCTCCCCTTCCTCCTCGCCAAGCAGTAGACCGGCCTCGTCCTCCTCGACGGCAGCCTCAGCGCGCTTCTTCTTGACGTTGGCCTGCGCGGAATAGGAATAGGCCATCACCTCCTTGTTGTAGGCACGCGTCAGCGCCGCTTTGACACGCCCATCGACGGCATCCATGGGCGACTTTTTGCCTGGCCAGGTGGTCAGCTCGATCAGCGATTCCAAATCCTCGCGCAGCAAATGATAATCCTTCATGACCTGCAGCGCAGCCGGGACGCCCTCCTGCCCATCCTGCGCCAACGGACGCACAATATTGGCCAGCAGGTGGGGCGCATATTCCAAACGGACCGACAGCCTGGAGCCCGAGGTGCAGACACGTGTGTGATCGTGCAGCTCCTGGGCCAGGCGAGAACGTTTGCTGCTGCGCGAATTCTTGCCCAGCCAGCCGGGAAAATTGATCTGGCCCGTAAAATGGCCACACATGTACTCTCCGGGCAATAGGGAACTAAAGACGGCCTGTGTGGGCAGCAGACTCCACGCGGAATTGGCGCGTATGCGCTTATCCACCATATCGCCCAGACTGAGAGCATCTGCAGCGGCCGCGACCTTGGCCAACACTTCATTCCGATTGCCCTGCGGCAGCACCTGGAGATAGTTTTGTTGCACGAAAAGCGGAGCCAGGCTGTAGTCGTGGAAGAACAAATCACACTTGTCATAGATGGTCATGTGCTTGTGTTCGTCGGCGGTGAAAACCTTGCGCACCACCTCCCACGGGCCCAGCTTGAGATCCTTGGCGGCCACCTGTTGGTTTGTTGTGGCTTGTGGCAGCTGCTCGCCAGCGCTGAGAAGCGCAATGTGATTGATGGTCTGGCGTATATCGTTGTTGGTGGCGGCTATGATCTCCTCGAGCTTGGCGGGCGGTATCTTGAGCTTCTCCTTGAAGCATATGCTCATGATGCGACCCTTGATCTGTTCAGCGCGCGGTCGCTGGAAGCGCAAATCGTAGCAGTAGTTGACCAGGGATCGTATCTTGGGATGATTGCGATCGTTGCACATGCATATAATTGGCACGGAGCTGTCCTTGATTAAAGCTATCAGCTCCTGCATGCCGCCGCGATCCTCGTTGCCAGCCATGCCGTCCACCTCGTCCATGATCAAGACGTGCTTTTTGGACACCGCCTGCGACTGGCCGTGCACATAGCCAGCGAGCGACTTGTTGCCCAGCAGGCTGGACACCTCCTCCTTGAGCAGACGCTTGCTGCGCGTATCCGAGGCATTGAACTCGACCGCATCGAAGCCCAGCTCCTGACAGACGAGCGTCGCTGTCGTCGTCTTACCTATGCCCGGCGGACCCGACAGCAGCGCCGCCTTGAAGAAGCTGCCATCGTCATTCTTCGCCCAGGGATTTGGACGCTGCGGCTTAGTTTTGCCATCGTGATTCACATACCATTTGCTCAGCCAGTTCATCAGTCTGCGAAGAGCGAGATTAAGCAATTAAATTATTAATTTTTCAATGGATATTTTCCAATTCGTTTGGAAACCCATTTTTCCACCCATTGGGGTGGACTTTCCGAAACGTGTGAAATTATCCGATTTTAAACAATTTTAGACCTAGAGAATTTATCCTAAACCTCGGCTCGGAGTTGACTAACATCATAAAAGAAAACTATTGGGAAAAATTCAGCTACTATCAGTTTGAATAGTCAACTCGTAAATCAATCAGTCAATCAGACAGTTGGTCATTCAATCAGCTAGTTCTTTTGTCAATCAGTCAGTAAACGATCGAATCAGTTAATCAAGCGATTATTTAATCTATTAGCTACTAAATTTATAAGTCGGGAAATCTCTCAGGCGATTAATTATTTTGTCCATCAGTTGATCAATCAGTCAATCAATTACTCAGTTTGAAAATCAATTGGTCGATCAATCAGTCTGTTTATAACTCATTTACTTCAATCAGTAAGTCTATCAATTAGTACTTCAATCAATCAGTCAGTCAATCAATCAATCAGTCAGTCAAACAATCAGTTGAAAGTGAAGCACAAAATCAACTATAAATATTAGTCAAATCAATTATCCAATCACTCGATCAATCAGCTTGTCCATTACTCAATTATTTTCTGTATATCGACTACTCACTTGTTGACATTGCTGCCCGGTCCGGCCGAGCCGACAATCTCTTTGATGGAGCTGGGCTTGTATTTGTCCACCCAGGCCATATTGCTGCTGATATCCTCCTCTGTCTTGGCCGCATCCACATTGTTGTTGGGCTCCTTTTTAATCTTGGGACTAATCCTTGGCTGCGGCTTCACCTTTAAGGCGTGCTCCCCTTCGGAGGTGTTGCTGCTCTTGGTCTGCCCCGGCTCAGGCTTAATCTTTGAGTTGCTCTTCTCCTCCTGCTCATGCTCAATCTTTGAGCTACTCTTCTCCTCCCTCTCATGCTTAATCTTTAAGCTGCTTTTCTCCTCCTGCTCGTGCTTTATTTTTGAGCTGCTCTTCTCCTCCTTGCCGTGCTTAATCTTTGAGCTGCTCTTCTCCTCATGCTCCTTCCTTACTTTTGGCCCGCTGCTCTTCTCCTCATGCTCTTTCTTAATCGTCAAGCTGCTGCCCTTCTCCTGCTTCACCTTGGGACTTTGATCCACTTTACCGCTCGGCTTCTCGCCGGATCTCTCTCTTATCAAATCGAAGAGCCCATCCTCGCTGATGATGGTCACATTGTGCTCCTCGGCTTGGGCCAGTTTCTTGGGTCCCGCCTCCTCGCCCACAACCAAATAGTTGAGCTTCTTGCCCACCACAGTCATGACACGACCACCGAATCCTTTAATTACCGATGCAGCCTCATCCCGTTCCATTGACTCCAATATGCCCGTGACCAAAAATGTTAGGCCCTTTAGGCAATCGGGCGCACCTTTCGGTATTTCCTTGCTGCCCGGATTTAGGCAGCTGCTGCGATTCTTGTACTTCTGATAGAGCATGGCGGACATGCGCTTGCGCTCGTGCCGCTCCTCATCGGACAGCACGCTGCTTTCCAGATCCGTATGCTTCTCCTGCTTGACCCGCGGCGTCGTTGCCTTCGGTTTCTTGGGCGTCGCCTCTGGCGTTGGCTTCGGGCTGCTGGCCTTGCCGCGTTTGCGACTGGGCGTTACTGCAGGCGGCTGTGGCGGCGACGGTTCATCGAGATCCACCTCCATTAGACTGCGATCGATGGCCTCGTCCTCCATTTCCAAGACACTGCGCTCCTTCGGCTTGGGCGCCTCCACACGCTTGGTTTCACCGCCAAAAAACTCTGAGGGATCGACCTTTTTCAGCTGCTGCTTGGGCGCCTCTTTCAGCTTGGAGAGTGTCGGCTTCTTGGAGTGGCCATTCTCTGGCGCCCGGCGCGTTTTCTTCAGCTCCTTGCCGTGCTTGTTCAGCTGTGGACTGGCGGGCACCTCGTCCTCATCGCTGGATATAACGAGCGCTTTGCGTTTGCGGGGCGCCGGCGAAGGCGACGGCGTCGCGTCCTCGTCGCTGGTCTTCTTGCCGGGCAGCCGCTTGAAGAACGAGTCTATGCCCTGTTTTTAGCAGCAATTGCATGCATATAAAATCAATTTTATGATATAAAAACTTTAACTTACTCGCTGCATCTTTCAACTCAATTCCTCATTAATGTTAAAGCAGCAAAAAGGCGCACAATAAAAAAAATCGATATTTTTTTGGCATTTATATCGTTTAAGTGTGACCGTTGGCTGTTGGCCGACAGCTGTGGCGACCATAGTTGCCACATGTGTTAAGAAGGTACCAAAATGGATCATAATAGTACTTTTGCTGCGTGTTACAAATGTACCTAACCTAACCGGGAACCCTTGCAGTGTGCATGTACCTTCATTTACTAAATATGCTCTTATATAACTAAAAATATCGTGAGCAGCATGTGTAGGAACGTTTGAAAAAGTTTCGTATAGCATTTTAGTAATTTCCAGTACATTTAAATCTCTTCAATTGGTAGTCATTTGTGTGGCCCGCCCCAACTGGCAACGCCAACCAAAACGCTCAGCTTATGTCAGGGCGCAATTTTCTAATTTAAATTAAATTTATGCAAACGTTAAATTTTAAACAGCCCAAAATCAATTTGCAACAACAAATTGTTTTGCGCTGACCAAGCGGCTTAAGTTTGCATTGATTTAACATGTTATTTGACACATGCTCCATCAATCTTGCGCTAATGCCAACTAATCAAGCCGAATCACATTATCAACGTCACCCTCAAACACTTATTACTTTGGACTTAAAAGGCCGCCCAAGCTGTTTAGTTGCATTTACAAGGCATTAGAAATAACCCACCCCCACATAGCCCCGAGTTGGAAAACTGTCGCACAGTTCGCTCGAGCGCTGATTACACGCACAATTAAGGGTTGTGGACAGGCGCCATTGCCCTGGTGCCTCACCCACCCACCCGGCGACCGCACGCGGACCGCTTTTGTGCGGCT